ATCTTAGCTGTGGAGGGCAGTGTCACTGGCCCTCATATGTGGGATCCGAACCGGGGCCCTCTGGCATCCCAAGCGAGTTCTTAACCATCGCGCCACTCCGCAGGCCCTCAGAAGTATTTTTTTAATCAATGAATAGAAATGACAAAATAGGTACAAAGAGTTAAATGCCTAACCTGAATTCACTGAACTGCATGTGGCAAACTAGTACAGGGCTAAGGAGTCCCTAACTTCTGACATCACGCTCTTCCCACTAGAGCAGTGGTTCTCAACCTGTGGGTCACGACCCCTTTGGGGGTTAAACGACCCTTTCACAGGGGTTGCCGGGTACTCGTATGTGGGCGTATCTGCATGTGGGCGTATCTGCATGTGGGCCTGGAGACAGATAGAGCAGCAGTGTCTCGGTTCCTAAGACCATTGAAAATATGTGTTTTCCAATGGTCTTAGGCGACCCCTGTGAAAGATTGAGAACCGCTGCACTAGAGCCTTTTCAACCTAGGCTGCACATTTCAATCACCTGGGGAGCTTTAAAAACTACTGCTGCCTGGTCCTGCTCCCAGAGATCCTGATGTAATTGGTCTGAGGGTGTGCCCTTTACATGGGAATTTTTACAAGCTCCTCTGGTGGTTCTAATGAGCAGTCAAAACTGAGAACCATGGATCAGAATGAGACAATACTGCCTCTCGCATCTAAATGCAGTTTGGAGACACTTGCCCTTATTGCTGGCTCAAAGGCTCAAAGAATGAAAGTCTCCTAGGGTGAAAGCAAGCATCCCCAGGACGCTTCAGGCTGTTTGGTCTGTCTTGATGACAGCAAACATCAGGAAGCCTCCGCTCACTATTACAGGGTACACTGGTCTGAAGGAATTCTTTTCCTCTAACATAAACATTTCCTTATGGGGAGCATATTCTGTCGTTAAGGTGCTGTTGCCCACAACCAGATGTAGTGGTTTGTTCTCTGCCAAACTTTTTATGTGCCATTCTGTAGTGATGGACAGAGAACAGTGGATCATCAGTACATTTTCCCACATGATTGCCTGTGATCGTGAACTAATAATTACAATTATTGAAAAATGTACTGCGTGTACTTCAGAGTCTGAATTTAAATCTCAGGTTATAAGGAAACAACAATTTTATGTCACATTATAAAGGCAGTGTAGTATGATAGAAAGCAACAAATGTGGAGTCCAGAGGACCTCGTTCAAGTCCTTGGACCTCAGTTTATTTGTAGTGATTAATAATAGCCACACTTACTGAGTAGTCACTGTGTGCTAAGCGCTGTTGTAAGTGCTTCAGCCTATTAGGGATGTGCTGTAATTATTCTCATCTTATAGCTGAGGGAACCAGATGCAGAGAGGCTAAGAAACTTACCCAAGGTCACATAGCTAGTAAAGGGCAGAGACAAGGTTACACCCAGGCAATCTGACTCCAGAATTTGCACCCTTTGCCAATATATGATATTCCCTCTTACATGTGTGACCTTAGATAAATTATTGAGCTCCCCTTGGTCTTGGTTTTCTCATTTGTAAAACAGTAATAATAATAATAATAATAATAATAATAATGCCTAGCTCATAGGGTTGATAAACCACTGTGCATGACACATATTAGATATTTAATGAATATCGGTTGATAAATGAATAAAAAAATAAGATTGGGATGATTAAAAAAACCTAACACAGAGAATACTCTGTAAACTGTATTATACAAGAATACACAGGACTAGAGATAGATTTGCGACACAAAGATATGGAAAAGAGTTATTACCCCAAATCAAACTATAACCGCTCATCACTATTCATAAAATAAAAAGCTTTTAAAAATATGCACAAGAGCTTGACAATCTTCCCAATGATAAGAATGTAACTGCAGAAAATGAAGTTATTAAAAGTTTCCCTTTTATTTCTGAGTAGTTGAAGAATCATTCTATAATCTAAAGGCTTCATATCTTTATTATTGCCAGGAAATTAAGCCATTAAAAAAAAGATAGTATTGGATCTCATCCAGCTGAATTATCCAAAGACAAAATGGCCAGCAGCAAATGTAAGGTTTACATTTTTTTTTTTAATTAAGTGCTGGTTATTATTGAAGGAAAGCTCTTGAAACATTCTTATAACCAATCCCTGGGGGGAAGAAGCAGGGTAATTGTGAAATATTGCACCAAGGGCTAGAATCAAAGTCTCAGAATTCTTTTGGGCTAGAGGTAACCATTACCAGCTATTGCTTTTGCAAAGAGGAATGAATTACATACTAGGTTCGTGACAGATGTAGAAACAAGGAACAAATGAAACATCTTGGTATCAAACTCTTTTGAAGAGGAAACTAGTTAGTGGTGCTTCATTATTTCCTCCCGTTTTTAATTGTTCTTTATTGCAAGACAATCACTTCCAAATTTCAGTAAGTTTTCGCATGTGCTTCTTCTTCTTTTTTTTTTTGTAGCAGTTTGGAGTCTCTAAGTGCCTCATATATTTACATGTTATCCCATAAAGCACCATTCTATGCCATCCGGTTTGGTTTTTGGCTGAAGGAGTTGGATGCTTGAGTGGTTCCCTAGAACGTGTTCATTGCTTCCCGACACTGCATTTGTTAAGGATTATTGCTTCCTGGAACCTATCTGAGTTGCTCAGTCCCTCACACATAATAGGTACGCAAGATGTGCTTGCTGAATTGACTAAGCAGCACCCAACCACAAATCTTTGAAATGAAGTCAACATTCATGTACTCTGGTATCACAAATAATAAAATTCTTTATACTAATAGAGTCATTAAATACTGTGTTTCTTAAAGCGCCTTAAGTTATTTTTCTTAACCACTAATCCATGAGTGAGTAAGGAAAGTAATGTGTAATCACAAAATAATTAATAATCCACATCCAGAAAAAAACATGTAATTTCTTAGAAGTTATTGGTTTAACTTACTTTTTAAAATACTCGGTAAGCTTAGTACTGCTTTTTGCTGTAATTAGTGCCTTAAAACGGGAAACTTTTTTGCATGTGCTATTTTGTTCTTTTGAAACCAATTACGAGACCATTAAAATGATGAGATGAAATCTGATGAGGCCACAAAGTAAGGCAGTGGTCATGGGGTGGAGTGGAGGGAAAACGTTCATGATGTTGTAGGAGATAAAATCAACAAGGCTTAATGAGGGAGATAAAGAGGTCTAGGAAAATTCTGTGATTCTGGGTTAGGCAAGTAAATGCAATGGTTATTTACCACAAACCAAGAGAGGTAATAAAGGAGGGAAGATAGGTTTTAAGGCAAGATAATGAGTTCGCATTGGGACAGCTTAAGTTTGAGATGCTTGTAACCCATGTTAGATGTCCGATGCACAGCTGTAAATATGCACGGAGAATTCAGGAGAGAGCTTGGCTAGAGACGAGGCTTTAGGAATTACTGAAAGGTAGGCTAAGGAAATCCACAGTGGTGAATGACCTCTATCAGAGAGAGTGGGGAGTTTTTGCTAAGGAAAGAGGCAGAGGAGCACTAAAGGAGGGAGGAGGAAAACCATGGATGTATGGTGTCATCTAATTCAAGGAGGGCATAGCTGAGGAGTGTGCAAGTTAAGATACAGACTAAACAGTTATCACTTTACCGGGGAATTAGGAAGTCACTGGCAACTTCAGAATGCATCATTTCAGCAGGATAGCTGAGGCAAAGTCGTATTTCAAGGCAAAGGTGTGTATAGACTGAATAACCTGCTTTGATCCAAATAGTACTCTAAATACTTGATTAAACGGGACCAGAAAGTCATCCAACTTTCCCCTTCTGTCTTTTTAATTCCTAATGTATGACGGCAACTGATAATTTTTCCTTAGTTTGATATAATTGCAAGTCTTAGGTGTATATGCTGTCTTTCTACTGGTTTTGAGGATAATTATTTTTAGAATCAAAAAGGTTCCTCCTGCTATGCAGGCTTCTTTCTGGGGTGAAGGGAGTAAAGTAAACCTCATAAGACTGAGAACTTCATCTTTTATTCCTTCAATTGCCTATCTTTCCTTCTGGCTTTTAATCAGACTTCAGTTCAGGGCTCTATACAAAAGAGGAACTAAATTAATAGTTGTTGAATGATTGGTATATTGAGCCAACAAAGAAGTTTATCATTCTTAAGTTGCAAATATATGTCAATTAGTCTTTCAAAGCAAGGCAAGCTAAGAATAATTAAGAGATTAGTTATATATTAATTGTAATAATACCAAAAGGACACGGAATAAGGCTAAATCACCTTACATGGAGTTCTGTAAAGTTCTGCAGCTTTTGATGTAGCGATTTCAGACCATGTCTTATAATAATCATCAAATGAAACTTTAATTGATCTGAAAATATAAATTAAAATCAGACAATGAGTAGTTTGCAAGTTTGCTTTGTAAAATTATTTTACCAGAGTGGACTGTTTCAGATAACAATATCTTTTTATAAGACAGGAAACTGATTTTCCTTTTTTAACAAATCTAACATATGAATTCCTCCACTAATACATACAAATAAAAATAGGAAAGAAAATCTGTCCCATTTTCCATAATAAATGTAAATGTGCACCCATGTGTATAGTATAAAAAAAACCCCATAAGTTTAGATATCTGCCTTTCATGGCCAACATTAAAAAGGCACTTCAAGAAAAGGTTCATACCTGTGTATTTTCTTACTACACACAATATACAATTTTCTTATTTTCTATGACAAATGATAATAAAATCACCTTTACTTCCTTTTTATTATGAGAAGGAAAAAATCAGAATTGAGATTAGTTTAATTTTTACACAGAAAACAGGAAAACAGCTCTTTTCTACTATTCCCGCCTGCATTTTTCCTTCCCTGTGCTAATATTACTATGTCCTAATGGGAAAGCAAAAAAAGCTTTAAAATATTAAACAAGAACTGTGAAACTGTCTCTTAAATAATTGTGTTTCCTTTTTTTTTTCCTACATACTTTTTGCATGTAGAGATTCTCAGCAACCTACAAATAAAACATTACTTTGAAATATTTTTCAGACATGTGAAATCACCAACTGACTGGCTTAGATGTTTAAACATCAAATGTAAAAGACCCTATGTCTGTTTCCCAGTCTAAGTTGCTACCTCTTTCGAGAAAGAAGCAACTTTTCAGTTAGAACAAGCATACTAGCACTAATTTTTATATATATATCTTAAAGTAAATATTTGACTAAATTGTGAAGTGAATGGGGCAATATTGAAATGTGTTATTGCATTCATTTATTTAAATGATAATTACAGACACCTAATTTTCAGACTAACATTTTTCAAATGTGTTATTGCTTTTGCAATCACATTTAAGTAGAAATCTGAAACTTGGTGAAGATAAATTAATCACTACTATTATTGCTTCCAGAGCTACATGCAATGCCTTACACTACTAAATGATATACTAAACTAACATTAATTTCCCAAAGAAATGCTTCGGCATTTGGCAACGGAGGTAACAAAATGAAAGGCTGCATTATATCTTCTGCATGAAAAAGCTTGTGATCAATTTGCTGTCACAGATCATTTAGCAGACAACAATGACCCAAGAGGAAGGAAACTGTCAACACACTGTCTCGTGAAAAAAATACACCATCTTCAGGCACAATCGTCTCCATTGTTTTTTGTCTGTTTGACGATGACCCATGACCCTCTCCCTTCCCAACGGTGTCCTGTTCAATTTCAAACTGTTAGCCTTCAGGGGCTTTCTTTTCTTCCCCCAGAATAATTAAAAATATTACCCTAAAAGGTATAACTTTAGTATAGTTTGAATATACAAAGCAGAATGTCTTAAACATTTGGGGATATTTGCATTTTCAACTCTGTAAAGGAAACAGCTCCTTAAAATGAGAGAACAGTAACTATTCTACTATGATTCAGAAAAACTACTAAGTTTACAGGTATACATTATAAAAAAAATACACATGTTTATAGATTCAACCAGGAACAGAAATTTATTGAGTATCATCACTGGCGTTATCAATATGAAAAAGTAGAAGACAAAATTTTAAACTGAACGTCAGAGCTCATTATCCTATTGGGAAAATAGGATGTATATCTGAACTAGTAAATAGAATAGCTTTATATATTAACCTCATAATGTGTTGCATCATTTAACACAGACATTTGGAAGTTATAATGACAGATACTTCTTCGGCAATGGCAGTAAGCAGAAAAAGTTGGAATAGAATGTAACTTTGTTTTGGAGCCATGAGTGAAAGAGTCACTTGAGATATGGACCTGGAACAACAGCAGGAGGCATTTTAGGCCCCGGGAGCAGGATTAGCAATAGATCAGATGGGAAGGAGCATGGTGTGTGTGTACATACAGAGAATGTTGGTAAAAGAGATGATAGTAACAAGATAATTGACTGGAGTGAAGAGTTCCAATTTCAGAGGAGTTATAATTTGATTAAAATAAGTGAAACTGGGCAATGCAGGGCCTTCAGATTTAGGTAGAGAATGGGTTAGAGTTGATTCAGTAATCTTGATTTATTAGGTGATAGAGAACAATCAGGAGTTCTTGAATGAGGCAAGCAAATTATGAAATCAGTGTGTAAGAGTTTTTTCTAGCATAGGGTAGATTATATGGGAGATGAAATGCAGGGGGACATGTTAGGAAACAAATGCAGTAATTCAGGCAAGAGACACAGAGAGCTAACACAAAGGTGGGAGTAAAAATTAGGAAGCGAAGGAGATGAATCAATGGTAAAGAATTGACTGGACTGGTTGCCTGATAGGGTGTGAAAGGTGAAGGAATTTGAGGGTCAAATGTTCTCTGAAAGCCCAGAAGACCAGTTAGTTTTGCTATTAATAGAAAGCGTCTAGAGAAAGTAAAATATGAGTTTAATTTTAAACATGGGTTTTAGGTGACGACCTTTGGGAGTGTGATTGAGAAATTGAAACTGGAAATAAGAGATTTGGGTCAAATCAACATAAAGGTTGATAGATGATGCCATTAGGAAAAACAAACTCCAAAAGAGTAATTAAGTGTTTAGAAAAGACAGAGTAGAAACGAGTTTCATAATCAAGAGGAGCCAGTGAAGAAAATAAAAGGATAACTAAAGGAAGAAGAGAATTGTGGTAGTGATATTTCATGGAAGCAACATCCCAGCCATAACAAAAGCCTAATGATTAAACCCGTATAGGTCCCTGGATATTCAGCCATGTAGCATCGTGTTTAAAGAGTACAGGCTCTGGAATCACCTGGCCTGGGTGAAAACACACTGTGACTTAGTAGCTGTGTGACTCTGGGTAAATTCCCTAATCCCTCCACCCCTGTTTCCTCGTCTATAAAATTAAGAAACAGAACTTTCTCCAGTGAGTCTTGTAAGCATTCAATGAAATCAGGCATGGAAAGGGCTAGGTAGGGGGTTTAGCACTCCTTAGCACTGTCAGCTGGTTTCCTCAAACGACTTAGACAAGTACCTCATCATTTCTCTCATGCAAACTCTCAACAGCTTCCTGTTGTGTTTCTATCTCAGCCTCTCCCTCTTCCAGGTTATCCTGCCTCTGTTTGAAAACTACATTTGTTTATCTAATTCTATAGGATGAAGTCTAAACACTTTTCAATAGAACTCAAGGTTCCTCATCACCTGGCCATTTCTACCCTTTTTTTTAATTTCCAACCTTTTCATTCACACATCCAGAGGCTCCATCACATAAAACTTCCTGATGAGCCAGTGTATAACATAATATTACATTTTTGTATCTGTGCAAGCAGTTCTATCTAGAGATTTATGCCCTCTGTGCCTGTCAAACTCTTAACTTATCAAGGTTCCGGTCCATGAAAAATATTATGTATGTGGAGGTTTTTACAGTAGACATTGTGGCTATCTGGCCAATACGAGTAACTAGTCCATCTTCTCCCATCGTGTATATACAATTCCATGTGATGGGACTGACCCCACCTCTGGCTATAAGTTAGAGACCGATGGGTTTAGGGCTGTCTGACAATGGTAACTATTGGATTGTTGGAAAAGTCATGACGTATTTTTTTTATGTTTTCCATTGCAAAAATGTGTCATGACTATTCTGACAACCCAATAGTTTAGGAACTTGACCTAAAATGATCCAGAGTGAAATATCTTCTAGCTTTCTAGTATATCTTGATATCCAGGAGTCACAATCCTGTTTGTTAAACATTATCTTGTCATTTTAAATCCGTTGCATTTCTAGATACATTTTAGAACCACCTTGTTAATTTTCAGAAAAAGCTATTGAGATTTTGATAGAGGTTGAATTGAATCTATAGATTAATTTGGGAAGAATTGGTGGCATAATAATATTGGGTCTTTCCTGCTCACAAACATTGTATGAATATATCTTTATTTCCTTAGGTCTTCAAAAATTTCCCCCAGATATATTTTGTGGTTGTCAGTATAGATGTCTTATTCATCTTTGTTAAATTTTAGTGCTGTTGTAATGGTATATTTTAAATTTCACTTTTTATGTGTTGATTGCTAGTATATAAAAACATAGTTGATTTTTTTTTTTTAGTCCCCAAAAGAATGCTGGACATAGTTGATATTTTAATATTCATTTTAGGGCCGGCCGAGTGGTACATTGGTTAAGAGCTGGCTTGGGACACCAGAGGGCCCCGGTTCAGATCCCACATGAGGGCCAGTGACACTGCCCTCTACAGCTAAG